ACTGAATTGAAATTCTCTCAGAAAGGAAAGCTAGAAACAAAATCGACACTTGAGTATATAAATTTTCATCGTTCCATTAGTTTATTAACATGATGGTTCAGGATTCCTCAAAAATCAAGAGTTTAAGTCACTTATACACGTGAATAAATTTGATTCATATTATACACTATCGAGACATGTCAACGTTATCCAAAATAGGTTCGAAATACCCTATAATAATATCTATTGATGGGGACAGCAAGGCAGAACAACTTATAGGTTTCCGAAATATTCTGGGGAAATTTAGTCTCAATGATTAATTAGTCAGTTTTATCAAACCTGTGTGCAATTTATTTTTAATTTAGATCGGATATGACAGAACGTATAGTGTGTACTGACTTGGGTGCATTTTCCGTAAATCAATTAATTTCATTAAAAATAAATTTGGTTGAAGTTATCATCGGAACAGTAATTCAGTTGTTTGTCAAACATTTGATAGAATGGTAGATTGTTTTTAAAAAGAGAATAAGCAATAAAACAAGTTAAAAACACGTAAAGAAAGCAATAACAGCTAGTTCGAATGAGTTGGTCAGGGACTTTAGATATTGACCACATAATTGGTAATAAGTACATTCGGAAAGTTATTAAAATTAGATATTTCCGCATTTCGTTTTATTATCGTTCATTTAAAATAAGGAATATGATAAGTCGTTCACACTTGTTACGTTTTTCCCAATGTGAAAAGTATAGTGACATATGATGGCGATAGGCCAAATATTGCATTAACAAAACATCAGCCTGTTTGTAAATTACGTATTGTTACCTTTATGACTGTAATGCATGTTGATCTTTAAACTCTGAAATATTCATTTGCTTATTTTAGTCTAATGAAATTGGAAAATACTATGCATATTTGAAGTATCTAACAGAACTTTCTACTCCATTCATAAACCTCAGGTAAGTAATCTTAGTGATCGTTTTAATGACGACAGTTTACTCAATGGAAGCACTATTAGACAACGAAGTCTATTTATATATTCACTTAAGAAACTGAAAAGATGCACGAGTTTGTTTTTTGTTTCTTTCATTACACAAGTTAAGTCTTAGTTTTCAGTCAGGCAAGTACAGAATCACGGATAATGAAGGTTGTAAGAAAGAAAAAAGAAAACATGAACGAACAAGTGGTTGATTACTTACTGAATATATTTCAAACTGTGGAAAGCGAAGGAACATCTTACTGATTAACGTGATTATGGAGGTTGCCTCTCATCATAGTAGATAATTAATAATTAAGTAAATTAAACTTCACCCCATTGCACAAGCAAGTGGCTATCAGAGCTCAGAAGCTGAGTGGACATGAACAATGCAACTTAATTTTGCCAGTGTGTAAAAATAATAGCCGGGAACTAACTACATAGAATAAGGACAAGTACCATAGATCACCGACAGCGAATGTGTTGAAGTAAGTCCTATTATTCACATAGCCATTCTGATAGATTAATGTATGAAATATCTATAGGTCCATTCATTCTGTATTGACCACGTAATGAAAAAAATTATCATCGAAAAATTTGGTGCTTATTCACTTAAACTACTTCTGACCATCATATGAAAACGTGGTTACAAAAATCCTGTAGAAATGATAACACACATAAATTCATTTCTTTAGGCCCTAGAACAATTGATTTTATAAAAGATCTCATTTTGGTAAAAGATTAGAGGTTGGAACAGAAGAAAATAGCATTTTTGTATTTCTTTTGACAACGAAGTTTCTAACAGTTGAAATGCACACATTTGAATAATCCAATTAACAACAAAGTCACTTTTGTAAAAGCCTGTAGAAAGTTCTAGACTTTCCATTTCTTAATTTTGTATCAAGAATACCTATGGGACATCGTCATTAGGTATTTAATTTATTTCAAAACTATTAAACTACTTTTAAGTAATCTAAAAACGTTTTCTGTTATTTAACGAGAAATCGATAATGTCGCCACTGTCGAGAGTTGGTATATTTTACGAAACGTTAAACGAAAATAGACAGATAAATTATACTATTGTCGTGAAAGAGAACACAAGTGGGGACAATCGAATGTATTCGAACACAAAATGACAGAATATCTTGATAAAATCTGAGAACCATATAGTAAATATTTCATTTGCAAAATGTCAACCAATTGTCTCAGGCTTTATGATTCCTTCATTTCCACACCAATTATTCTCTGTTTTTGTTCTCTTTACTTCGATAATTCATTCACTCGTACCTATGTCGTAAAATAAAGGTTCCGAAATTTCAACAAGACTTAATTCAATCCTCTTAGTTTCGATTTTGAAAGTAACTGAATATTTATGTGAGAGAAACTGTTAGCAGCTATTTCCATTTTAGTTGTCTTACAGTTTCCATTGATTAAGAATAGTAACAACGTTCTTTTTTATCAATACAAATCAGAATGTTCATGAATCCAATTACGTAAATCCAGGTTTTATCGCCGCTAGTCGGTCGAGATTATATTATATTCATTTACAATTAAATGACAAGTCACATCATAAATAATTATAGCAGTGTTAAAATGAAAAAAACTTGAAGTAGGTTGGTTTTTTAAAAGAGTTTTCAATCTAGTCTACAAGCTGTATAGCCAAATGACACTGAGATTAGTTTATTATTATACAACGATAAAGAAGACCAATTCTCTAGTTCAAAGTTTTCGGTAATAAACTCTTGTATTTGCATCCACGTTTTGCTTTTTAATCCGAAGAGTATGTAAAATACATATGAAGCACATTTTCTAGTGTGTTTTAAGAATTTGATTTAGCAGATAACAAAAATATGCATATTTATGAACCTTTTATCCTTCAACTCCTTAAACAGGTGGTTTCTGCGAACATGTGGATATTCCTCACATCATAAATACGTTGCCATAGCGACCTCTTTATTCGCCGTCACATTTATTCTAACCAGAAATATTTGTGCTGTTCCATTTTGGTATTTAGTATCCTATAATATGCATCATCATAGCAATGAAGAACAAAGAATATTTCTTATTGGTGTCTTCAAAATTTATTTTATTTTGGGTATCATACTTGACATACTGAATCTATTATGGGGTAAAATTATATGTTCAATGTTGTGGCTATCAATCAAAGTTTTGAAAAATTCACAGTGTGCAGAATCAGAATGACTGTCATGTTAAATACTTTTGATTCCATAGCTGTTGTTATTATTGTCACTATTGCTGTTCCTACCACTAATAAATGACATTAGTTTTTGCTATAACTCAAAAACGAAAATAAGCAGACAAACCCGAAGACTTTTATTTCCTTAGTCTCCCAACTTTTATACATTTACGATTATAATTTTTAATTAAATACCGAACTTCTAATGTAGTTCGAAATAAATAAGCAGATACTATTTTTGAAGCTCGTGATTTTAAACAGATATATATACATTTTTTTCTCTCACTGTTATCATTGGTGTGTGCATGGCACTGGATGATATCCATTGTAATCCTTCCTTTCTTTGTGTTTGAAGGATACTCTGATGATCCTTTATCCATGAAATTCTCGTTTTATATCTTTTGGTGCTTTCTTGGAAAGCAAACTTTAGTGTGTGTGTGCGTGGTATCTTCTTAATGACTAGAATACAACAGCACCTCTCCTGAAACGCATCTTTTATTTTCACTCATTCCCAGCACCTCCTCGAGGAATATTTTTATTGCCTCAGCTATGTGAACTGTCCTGTCAGTTCCGCGTACTGTGAGGATATTCCGTGTACCTATATTAATTTTTGCTCAGGTTATCAGAATGGGTATCGGCATTATGACTTCAGAAGATATATATATATAAGGAATTAAGTTCATACCAAGTTTGATTTGTAGCAAAGTGAGACCGAAAAGGAAGAAGCGTATAACTTTGTTGTAAACACTTATTTCACTATACATTTTAATCTATTTAATGATCATGTTCATTGTTATCACAATGCGACGTGTCTTCATCCAATCATCTCCCAGTTTCTTATCCAATCTTTTCACAGCGCTTCCAGTATGACTGGTTGTCTCCACCATAAAGACATACAATTTTACTGATTGTTTAACTAATACGATTGTTAAGTTTGACAAAGTGGTTTACTGAACTATTTGCGAAGGTTTAAGAACTTCCGAAAAGTCATTATGAGACATCGGTGATTGGATTCAGCTGGACATTGAGACCTATCAATCATTCTCAAAAACGACAGAATGGAATCTAGTTGTTTTATTGATCAGTTAATCTACCTATTTTTGAGTGTTCTGTTCTCTTCAAAGAGTATAGTATTTTGTTAATATTAGCTGGTTGTAAAAAGACAAAAGGAATTCCGAGGCACTTATGGTCAAATACAGAGACATTATTACTGACTTCACGAGTTAGTTTTGTTATCGGTATTATTATCTTAGTTACAAATGTTTTGATATATTAATTGCCACATTTGTTATGTTATTTCTCCGAAGATTCAATTTAGTCACTTAATAACACCATTCTCCTTTTAATTCCTGCGTATGCACATTTTTTTCATTTCAATAGATTTAAATATCCTTATGCCTCCATCGTTATATAATTTCTGTAGGTTTTGGATTACAGCCATCATTAAAGTTTTCAATGTGTTTTTCCTATTGTTTGAACAATAAATTTTTCCTTGACACTTGTATCACTGCATAAATGTATAACATACTTTGATACACTACCTCTTCTAATTGAGCTATACAGGTATTGTTACACTATTAAAATTTAATACTTTTTCAAAAAATGAAGTAACTAGGTTATTATAGATACAATGTACTTCACATATTCAATCTGTACAATTTTATTCTGGGACTTCTTAGAACTTCAAATAAAGAATTCCTTAAGATGTTTAACCTGGAAACTTTGGTTTCTATTCTATGTTATGCTACATCATATGTTGGCTAAGGGTGAGAATGTTAAAAGATGAGATGAAGTTTAGTGCTGCCAAAAGAGTACACTTCCTTGATATCATAATTAGAAGACAAAATGACTCTTGAAGGATTATTGGTTTTAAGTAACTTAAGTAAACTGAGATTGAAAACTATCAATCATAAATTTGGATTTACAATGATTCATTTATTTGATAACAAGATTTTTAAACTTGGATTTCCGTTACCTAAAAAGGGTATACAAATATAGCTGAAACAATAAAAAAAAACAGAAAATGCTCTACAGTAAATGTGGTGCATTATTCGGGAATTAATAAAAACATTTCTGACTGATATGCCGATATTTAAAATATTCTTTAAGATAAACCATGTAGAGTAAGTTAGCTGTAAAAAATAAAAGTAAAAGTAAAATGAAATGTTTGCAATGCATGTAAGATTTTCCACTAGCGAAGTAGGCAATATATTTGAAGATGTAAAAAACCTACTAAAATTAATTTGTGAGTTGGTGGATTGAAGGAAGCTTGTTTATTGTGGTTACATTACTGATCAAAATAATTTAAGATACCATTGCCTAACCATAAGCTTTTTGTTATTATTAACTTACCTGAATTGTCAAATTTAACCGCTGTTATTTAACATTTCAATACAAATGCTAATTTTGTTTACATTAAGGTAACCTAAATCTATTCTAAAAGAAATTTGGTCAAAGATATTTTTAATCGTTAAGATCATGAGTCAATTGAAGGTAGACCACCATGAAAAACCTGAAGGCAATGCTTGACGGCCGTTTCGTCCTATTGTGCGACTATTCAGTAGTGCGCACTCACGATCTCATCTCGCAAGATTCGACCTATTGATCTCGCGCGCGAGCGCTTAACCTCTAAACCACTGATACGGCATCCAACGGTATAATGTCTAACTTCAGCTGATCCACGAAATTGAGCGACACGTCCACCGCTGTCTTCAGTGAGTTAATATTTCATAACAGACCTGGTTGAACTCCACTGGTCACTGCTTCTCACTAGAACTCCAGGAAATACCAGGATTTCAGTGAATCTCACTGATATTTGCGGTTAAAGATGTTTTGTTTCCCAAGGTCTTATTTGTATGATAAACGTTCTCAACGTTTCATGGACAAATAGAAGAAATTCTATATCGCCTGATATTATTACAGTAAGATGTATTTTCTAAAATAAAAAAACAAACATTTCTAAATAAAAAGTATATTTGTAATATCCCAATGAGTAGAAAAATTAGATTTTCTGACGTTTCGTGACTCAGTGTAAGCCACTTCTTCAGAGAATAAATAACCAAATTAACATTAATCCAAGTTTAAATAGTACAACGGAACAATCAAAGAATATTAGGTGATCAATCAAAAACAGGTTTGAATAAATCAATGTCACGTCATTTCATTTCGGTTAAAGTGATTCATAAGGGATATGTACGTAATTTTGTGTGTATGTATGCATTGTTAATGACGAAAAATGTGTGACCTTTATAATGAAAAAGGATAGAGTTTAATTTTCCGATGAAGATTATCAGAAGCTTATTAAAACAAGACAATTCAGCACGTAATAATAACAATAATTCAAATGAAATGCCGTGAATTGGTACTGCAGTTTTACCTTACCGTCATTGCACAACTGAAGAACTCCAAAGGATCTTAAGACAACACAGAATTAAAGTATATTACAAAACAACGAACACACTTCGAAATACTTTAGTTCGGTTAAAAGAAAAAATCTCTTTCATGTCTACACAGAACTGCGTCTACAAATTAGGTTGTGTCGACTGTGATGCCTTCTATATTGGAGAGTCATCTCGCGAAATCATGACTCGCACCAAAGAACATATTAGGTACACAAAGAAACCTCCTAATAATCCTGTAGAACTAGATAGACTTCAAATTAAATCGGCGATAGCAGTTCACACCATTTTCAATAATCATCAAATTGATTTCAAAAACACCAAAATACTACAGAAAGGTTTTTCCAATCACAAAGAAAGAAGAGTAGCTGAAGCTTTCCATATAATACTTAATCCCACTGCCCTCAATAGAAAAGGCCTTAACATACATCCTACCTGGACCATCTATCCTAGTCACTTAGTCTGATATTATTTACAATTTCACACCATTACATTACAAATTAAACTCTATCCTTTTTCATTATAAAGGTCACACATTTTGTCATTATTAACAGTGCATACATACACACAAAATTACTTACAAGTCGCTTATGAATCACCTTGACCGAAATGAAATGACGTGACATTGATTTATTCAAACCTGTTTTTGATTGATCACCTAATATTCTTTGATTGTTCCGTTGTACTATTTAAACTTGGATTAATTTGGTTATTTATTCTCTGAAGAAGTGGCTTACACTGAGTCTCGAAACGTCACAAAATCTAATTTTTCTACTCATTGGGATATTACAAATATACTATTTATTTAAAACAATCCACCCAATGCTCAATCTATTCAAAATTAACAAATCAAAACTTGGTAATGGTACCTACAAACATTTGTTCTGCTTTCCCATGATACACGATTGAGTAACAAAATTTTCAGACTTATTGTGTTTCTAATTTCATATATCGGATGTTAGATTTTTAATGACATAATCGTTGCTTAAACTGGTTTGAGATTTCATTTGTAGTCTTAAACATTCAGTACCAATGTGTAAACCGTGAACTGAAAACAAAATAGTCATTATGCTGAGTATAGTTTAGGCATTTTCCTATAATCGGAGTGTCCTTAATTAAAAACTGCGAATTTCTGTTTATGAGTTTAAGACTGGAGTGATGGTATCCAAATCATAGTTTAAACTTATATGTGATAACTTTGTCCTTAATTATAAAGCAAAAACTAGTATCCTAAAATTTAAGATGATAGTTTACTCATGATATTGGTTGTTATTCATCGGTAGCTTACGAAAATTAATATTCAATAAAATATAGTAAACTGTACGTATTGCACAATGACTTCAGTGAATCTCATTGATATTTGCGGTCAAAATGGTTGTTATCACTCACGCGTGAACAACTAGTTTAATTTTACCTGAAAGAAACATTAGCGGTGGGTTGTTTCAGAATAATTTAGCCTATAGGTTGTAATTGAGCAAGTTGATTATGAGATGAAAATTGTTTTGGCTACAACATAATATCATACAAAAACAATCAAAAAGTAGTATAAAGTACTGATGGTCTTTCTGAACAGATATTGGATCTCTCATCAAGAACTGACTACATTTCTATTAAACTTTCCTTTGAAATGTGAATTAGCTTTCGAAACCTAGTCATAGATAACGGGAGACCTAAGTAAGTTTTTGACCATGAAATAATAGAAGATACAAATTAACGAACAGGTGTTTCAAACCTGAAGTATTTGTTCAAAGTGTTTGATTTAAAATGTGTTATCTATACGATGTATTCAAATTTTATACCTGATTAGTTCAGTAAAGACGACTATCAGACTCTGGACAAAAGTATCCAACGCCTACCAGGGCACTTCATTAGTAATTTTATTGTTACTTACCATTATAAGTTGTAAGTGATACATTGGTATCAACATTTAGTATATTTTTCAAGTCCAGATCTTCTGGTTTTACTTGATGATTTAAGTGCACAATTTTAGGTTGTTTCCCATATATTAAATCCCCACTGTTTAATAGTGAATTTTCGGTCAACCAGCTAACTGGACATCTGTGTGTATCAACACCTGAACTGAGTTGTATGTTCCATTCACATGGTATTTCGTAAAATATCTCATTGTTTCTTAACATAATTAAATTTATAACATCCTTGAATAAAATATAAATATACACAGTTATGATATGACATATTACAAACTCCTGTTAAGAAGTTCTGCATAACTATTTGCAAACGTTATAAATAAGCATTCTGTGTCAATATATAATATCCAGAACTGTTCGTATAATTAGCCTAAGTTATAGTTGAAAAGAAAGCATCGTTTACGAACGATAAACTGAATACGATGATGTAGATGCCAAAGCTGTCTGTGCAACTTGGATTTCTTATATGTTTTTAAGTAAAGTTATTTTATCAATCACTGTTGGATTAAATTATATACCATACTTAATTCAATAGGAATAATATATTTGTAAAATCTCAGCGAATGAATTTTTTAAATTAAATCCAACGTTTCGCCTGGCAATCTGGTCCAAGCTTTTTCAAGGAATTATAATCAAACATACTTAATTCATTTAATCTACTTTGAACAACCATAATTTATATAAGTTGGTAAATATTTATTGAGTCTATTTAAAATAAAATCAAGTTACATTAAACGAAAAATTTGATTTATTTAGTAGATGAATGGTTAGCCAATTTAAAGAGCATTTTGTGACATAGTTATGCAGCAACAGCTTAGATTAACTAACAGAAATAATTTTGTGAAATACCTACTTGAGAATCAACAGTTATTCTTATTAACAAGATATTTGTTAAGCAGAGATGGATAGTGGCTAGCAGTGGATTCCAGGAAGCGCGTTTCGTCCTATCTGGAACTCGTCAGCTGGATGTACCTGCATCTCAGAGTTGATGTTCACCCCGGGACTCGAACCCAATACCCTCGCTTCAAACGCCATCACGTTATCCACTCGGCCACTGAGTCCTGATCCATCTATGCTTACCATGCTTGTGAATTAAGGCTATATCGAGGCAGTACACACAGTATGCACATATGCCAATTAGAGACTGACTAGTTGCAGTCCTAACACATCGATGGGAATATTCAAACAAACAATACTAAATGAATTTAAGATATTTGTTATTCGGAACTCTGCCTGTAGCTCCTCCGGGGGTTACTGCCGGTCCCAAGCCCGGGTAAAGCAGGAGGGTTGGGTATAGGGTTATCGACCCCATTCCGTAGAGAACTAACTCGCTAAAAAACGCCAACCAGAAAAAAATTATTCAAACCATTTAAACTCTGCCATGGGTGTCAGAACGTATTCATTTAGAAGAGTTATAACGTCTCATGGTAAAAGCCGTGTTCCTTCGGAAGTAACGAAGCTGATTCACCTTCTAACAACCATTTATCTGGATACATGGAGTGCTTGTACAATGTGGGAGACCAGGAGAGTTTTCCAAATTGCTGCAGAAATGAGGAAATACAACCTGGAGGAGCTTGGGATCAGTGAAACACATTGGACGCAGATTGGACAACAATGACTATCTTCAGGGAAGCTCCTGTTATACTCCGGTCATGAAGAAGAAAATGCCCCACATACACAAGGAGTGGCATTGATGCTGTCCAAACAACCACAAAATGCACTTATAAGATGGGAATCTCATGAACCAAGGATCATCAAAGTCTCCTTCAAAACAAAGAGAGAGGGCATTACAACGAACGTCATTCAATGCTATGAGCCTACCAACGACTACAATGAAGATGCTAAAGATCAATTCTACGATAGGCTGCAGTCGATCGTCGAGAAGTACCCAACAAAGGACCTGACCATTCTGATCGGAGATTTAGATGCCAAGGTTGGAATGGACAACACCGGATACGAAGACATCATGGGACGACATGGACTGGGAGAAAGGAACGAAAATGGTAAGAGATTCGCGAATCTATGTGCCTTCAAAAAACTGGTCATAGATGGCACTATATTCCCACATAAACGCATTCACAAAACCACATGGACTTCACCGGACCACACCACGCAGAACCAAATTCACCATATCTGCATCAAAAAACGTTTAGGAGTACGATGAAGGATGTGAGACCCGGGAGAGGAGCTGATATAGCATCAGATCAAAATACCAAAAAAAGGCGATCTCACCAAGTGTGATAACTACAGGGGTATCACACTTCTCTCAGTACCAGGAAAAGTCTTCAACAGAATGAAGGACCACGTAGACGCCCGACTTCAAGACCAACAGCCTAGATTACATAAGGATAGATCATGTACAGACCAAATCGCAACTCTAGGGATCATTATGGAACAGTCAATTGAATGGAATTCATCACTCTACATCAACTTCATCGACTACGAGAAAGCATTTGATAGCGTGGACAGGACAACACTATAGAGGCTTCTTCGACACTACGGCTTATCTCAGAAGATAGTCAATATCATACGGAATTCCTATGATGGGTTTAACTGCCAAATCGTACATGGAGGAAAACTCACTGACTCGTTTGAGGTAAAGACCGGTGTTAGGCAAGGTTGCTTACTCTCACCTTTTTATTTCTCCTGGTGATCGAGCGGATTATGAAGACGTTAACATCTGGAGGGAAGCACGGAATACAGTGAACGATTTAGACTTCGCAGATGGTCTGGCTCTTCTATCACACACGCAACAACAAATGCAGGAGAAGACGACCAGTGTAGCAGCAGCCTCAGCAGCAGTAGGTTTCAATATGCACAAAGGGAAAAGCAAGACTCTCCGATACAACTCAATATGCACCAATCGAATCACGGAAAAGCTTTGGAGGATGTAAAATCCCTTACATATCTGGACAGCATCACTGATGAACACGGAGAATCTGATGCAGATGTGAAGACGCGGATCGTCAAAACGAGAGCAGCATATTTAAAACCGGAGAACATCTGGAACTCAAAACAGCTGTCAGCCAACACCAAGATCAGAATTTTCAATACAAATGTCACTGCAGTTCTACTATATGGGATGGAAACTTGAAGAACTACGAAAACCATCATCCAGGAGATACAAGTGTTTATTAACAGTTGTCTACTCAAAATACTTCGGATCCGTTGGTCAGACACCATCAGCAACAACCAAATGTAGGAGAGAACAAACTAGATTTCAGCAGAGGAAGAAATCAGTAAGAAGCTCTGAAAGTGGATAGGACACACATTGAGGAAAGCAGCCAACCGTGTCACGAGGCAAGTCGTCACATGGAATCCTGAAGGTCAAAGGAAAAGAGGAAGACCGAAGAACACATTACGCCGAGAAATGGAGACAAACATGAGAAGGATGATCAAAAATCGGATAGAACTAGAATGGAAGGCCCAAGACAAAGTGGATTGGAGAATGCTGGTGGGTGGTCTATGCTCCATTGGGAGTAACAGGCGTTAGTAAATTGTTGTTCGGGTTTAATCAAAACAAAAGGCTGTTTTACTAATTCAGAAATGCGGAAAAAGTTACTCCATCTAATCAATAACGAATCGTTAGTCATAAGTGCTGTTACTGTAATATTAAAGGATAAAATTAAACTGCAATCATTATTTCACTATGGAAAAACGTTTTCACTATTGTCATTAGTAGAACAGAACTCAGGTTTATGTAATTTGTGGTAAATTGAATCGAATTTCATTTAGTGTGATTTCGTGCATCATGATGATGTTTTCATTTTGAGAGATACTGGTTTACTATTCGATACACCAGTCAAATTTATTTCAAGTTTGTAAATGAGCGTGACTTTATGATGAATTCACGGTAACGATAAAGTGTGGCATTGTCGAGAAGTAGCGAACTTTATCTCTAAATCCATGCAGTTTTAATATTGAACAGAGCAAGATAAAAGTGCCGCCTTTTAGCTAAGATAAATACTTGTATATTTGTATCCACAATTATTTCTTGGTTCTAAGCGTACGTAAGACAAATAGTGTTTAAGATTTATGTTAAAAATTAAACATGCGTTTCTTTACTTGTAGAGTCTTTATTTATTTCTCATATCTCCAGTGACTGAGTAATGTATTTAGTCTAGTCTTAAACATGGTAATCTACACATAAACATCTCTTGTAAATTCTCTTCGTTGTGGATCTGAATGTATTTGGTTTAATCCCTTTACAAAGTATAAATTTCTAAATGCTGAAGTGTATCCTGTTGATGAAAACTGATTAACAGGAAAGTTATCTACGTGGCTTGCCTTAAATCTCCTCCACTTATGAAGTATTACTTAGAGTAAATGATACCGAAGAACTTTTCAGCAGTCGCTGTAGAATAGTAGATGGTATCAAATAGCAATTCTAAATAATATCTGCCAACCTAGTATGGTTATTGTTATTTTAATCTTATTTTGTAATTTCAGAACATTTTATCATCTCAATTTGAATCGATGACTAGAGCAAACAAACTTGAAAGCAAACATCAAAGTTAGAATGCAGTAACATCCAGTTGATAGGTTCCAAACAAGACAAATTTACCTCCTGAATGTAAATGTTAGTCACCACTTGAAACACGACGGGTGAGGATATAAACACGTAGGGAAAATTAATTACTTTGATTATTTCCAGAAAGAATAGTAAAAAAGGTAATAGCTTACTTGTTCCCCAGCTGATAAATAACCCGCTGTCTTCATAACAAATTTAATAGCACTCATCCATAAATGGTTCCATGGTAATGAACGTAATTTAGCCAAGTCCATCAAAACAACTCCACTATTATATCCATAACCCTGAAACAAAATGCATGATTTCGATGAAACAATGTTAGGAAATCCATGGGAATACTTATTACCAGACGTTGCGCTAAAATATGAAAGAAATGCCCGATATCCCCTGATTCTAAATTGTTTCTTAATACTACCAACTTGTATTGCGAGCCATATTGATCGTTGATTAAAAAAATTTAGGTTATAAAATTGGAAGTAATGTTCGAAAACTAATAATAGAACTTCGAGAAGATAGCTTATTTTCGTTGGGTAAACTGTTAAAAGCCTAACAACAATCCATCATGTGGTTAAGTGACTTAAGAGCATTTTAAATAACGAAAAGGATTTTCAGTTTGGAATTGATATGTTAACACTAGTGTACATCTGCCTCGATCATTTTCATCAGTGACAGGTGTCTAAGAAAATAACGAATATAATTATTCCGCTAATTACAGTCTGTGGTGAAAACTATTTAAATTAAAGTAGTCTGAAGAAATGATCCACTTTGATAATCATGGCAAAATACTCAGTAGTGACTGGATTCGATACTGAACCCCGATGTTCTAGTGAAAATTCGTGGGTAGCGAAGTTCAACCATCTCGAGTGTGGAATACTCAAACACTAATGTCAATGTTTCAGGCTAGAAATCAGCTTGACTTTGATATAGGGACAATTCCAATTTAGAGGTTAAAAAGTGACGTGCCTGGCCCAAAACTAGATGTTTTGGGTCTGTCTCCTAACAGAATTCATGTATGGACTACAGAAGAACCTTGAATTAAGACAAAGTACCTGTTTAATCGTGCCTAGTTCTCAATGATTCTCAAGATTAAATCAGCTAGTAATGAAAACTATCCACAAGTAAACAATATAAATGGAGTGGGTTAGGATAAGTGGTTGAATTCCACCTCGTTATTATTCCGGAATTGTTCTCTTGTTTCGACCTTAATCGTTAAAATGCTATTTGATCAAACGTTTTAATTCAAATCACTACTACTATGAACTGTGGACAAATATGATAATGATCATTATTAAGTTGTAGCAATTTTGCTGCCAGAGCGATCTAACGTAATCCAGCTTTTTGCAAATAAATGTTAGTTCTTTTCATGACAATAACCCCCATAACAGCTGTTCTAATGGATATTTTCTCACGACCTTTATTGTTACCTGAGTGGTTGTTTTTACTTTTTGTTTGCTAATTTTACCGTGTTCCTAGATCAAGTTTGTTGTTCTATATACATAGTTGCTCAACATCCTATTTGTCTTCCTTTTGAATACCAATTTTTACATGAACTAAATTTTCCCTGTGTTCCATGGAATCCTGGATTATTACTGACGTTTTGTGTATTAGTCCTCCGGCCTGCCGAGTATGCACTAGTTCCGTCCGCATAAGAAGAACTCGAATTGTTTGCAATTAGAAACTACCGTAGACTAATCACCACATTTATAAAGCAAAGTTATTACTTTTAATCAGTGCGAGTAGGTCCCATAATCACTAGCCATATGTGGTATATAAATCTAATGTTATGTACATGGATAATTAATGAAACTTGAATTCACTTATATAATGCTTTTGATCTTAAGGTCATCTCCAAAACCTAATCATTTAGGATTTCAGTCAGTCATTCATCATCAACCAAGATGTTGAATAAATTCATTGTCAGCTGAGGTACGATTATTTTTCCGGTTATTCCTAGATGATTTATTTAGCTTAACACAGAATATCTAACTCATGATCACTAGTATTAAGTAGCCTTTCAGCTGACTTTAATTCATGATGAAAAACAGTAAGAACTGAAAAAGTACTAAATGGTATCTCGAACAAAGGTCTTATTGAGTGTCAAGGCTTTGATTTTCAATATGCTAACTTCTTATAGATTCATTTATTTTGTCTAAAGATTTCTTTAGTAAAGAATTCACAAAACTATTATTTACATGATATTGTTGACAGGTCAAATTCATTTGGAAAAATATCAGTTAGGTTTCTGAGCATAGTTATTCTGGAATCAGATATTTGTGAAAACAAGTCACTGTTGTCATGATTATTAGACAGTAGGTCTGTTGTTTCAGTTTAATTTTTAAAAAAATCGTTGTGCACGCATTATTATCAATGGAATGTTTGACAGAATGAATCACGAGCAAAATTCAGATATATGAATGACAAAATTAGTTAAACGCAGTACTGTATCTGGTTTATTTTATACTTTATCATAATATTCTCGGTATTTAGGCTTGTCAAAAATACTACGATTAATTCGCTATTAAAAGAAGTGGTTTTAAATACCAAACTAGGTTAGCTAAAAAGACGCTCAAATTTATCTAATCATTAACCGTTAACTATACTACTCACAGATATTCTTCTATTTATAAACGTTTCTATTGCAGAATTTTTTGGTGTGAATGATCTATGAAACTGAATGAAAATATTCTGTGAATTAGGTATTTCTAGCAATTGTTTTGTACACAAATTCGATGTTAGTCAGTTTTAACCAGCAATATAATCGTTTATCATTGTAATATAATCAAAAGATGCATAATTGCAACCATGCCAAGTTGTGAGACACTAGTGATCTCAGTTTAATATATTTGTTTAAAGGTAGTTGTGATGAAGTTTTGTATCAAGATTACGAACAATTACCAAAAAGACCGATCGATAATCCTGAAGTAAGGATTAAAATGGATTCGAATTCACAGTCTTTTATATGATTAGATTTGAGCATCAATAACTCAGATGTATGTGATGCACGTTTGTAGTAAACTATCTAACCATCAATACTTTGGATTCGATCATACACAAGCTATAAAAATGGATTTTTTAACTGCTTACTTTTTATAAGCAATGAATCTGTTCAACTTTAATTAATTTAAGATAGCCACAACTGACAAATACTGTTAAAAAAGTGGCTATGGTAATTGGATGTGCAGTGAACATTAAGTCTGAACGAAAGTAGTACCAAGAATAGCATAGTTGGATCATTACTATATGCAGTGAAGTACTGTACAAATTCATTTACTGATTATTAGTTCTTCAGGTATGGGCAGTGTTAATAATTAAGAGATCCTAATGAAGCTTAAAGATGTTCAGAAACATTAGTTCAGCTAAGATTCAAGTCCTATGGTATTCACATGTAGTAAATTTGATTTGATTAAGTTTACACAAATACTATTGATAATTAGTAGAAAATGGGACACAATTCCCTCATCAACATATCAATACTTTGAAGTCCTTCTTTAACTTATGGGATATTTTAAAATTGGAAAACTTCTAGACTGAAAAGTAATATAAAACTGATAGTTAGTTATTTGAACGCTTTGAGTAGGCTCATGTGATTTTTAGCTTCAGATAACTAACATTAAAAGCGTTAAGAGTAATTTGGTTATCCATTTGCATTTCTGTATGATCATCCGCTTTGTTAATGCCTTAATTAGCCTGTCAGGAGTATTTGGAGTTTTATACGATCTATTTGAGCCTGTTTATTGGTCCAAACTACTGTCAAAAGCTGTAGCTAATATAACATTGGAATACTTCTATCGCTTTTAAGAAATAACATTTTACAATACTGACTTATAGAATATTTTTAGATCCGAAGTAGTAGTGATTTGTTCAGAAATGTGGATTTATTGTACTTGTTATGGAAAATCTAGTGTTTACAGATGATGCATTATCATTATCGAATTCCACAAGCTAATAAACGCAAAGTATAAAGCTTGGCACTCTACAGAAAATGTATTAGAGTTTATACACATTATTATAACTCATACTAAGAATATTCTCTAAATTATGCTAAACTATTGGAGGTAGAAAAGTATTTTTAACTTTGAAATAGAAGTATTATTATCTTGTTTATGCTTTCATTTTTAAGTATCCTTATCGCTATTATATTGCAGGATACAATCGACTAGGTAATTCATCAAGGAACTATATTGGTATTACTAAACGGATTCAGGTGCTTAGTAAATCTAACTTTTATAACGTTAGTGGAGAAATGTTACATATGATGTCTCCTTGAAACCCAAACTTGTGCTGATCGTCTCCTTTGACATATTACATTGCACAAATGTTTCTAAGTGGTTAAATAAAATATGCTTATATACACATACATTACATTATCACGGTAAAAAGTTAACTAAAAGGAGGTCATCGGATTCTAAATAATATCACTGTGAATAATAGTAAGTACAATTTTTCCGCTACAATTAAAAGTTTTTTGTTTTCACTTACTCTCCAACCTTTAATTAAACTTTTCATGATAGCCTCAAACTTGGGATTTTGTTCCATTGTCACTCCTAAAATCTGCAAAAGAAAGGGTTGGTAGCGACTCAATATAAATTAAACCTTTATTCATTCTCATGTTTATTTTTTTTAGATACGAAATACATGTCATTCCTAAAGACAGGTTATATCATAAACAAGTATTTATTGAAAAGAACACTCATCAACAGAGAGTTCTTCTAATTTACCGGAGGTAAACCTATCACACCACCTAGGATATTGAATCCAAGGCCTTTACATCTATTGATTTACAGATGAGCTAATAGGTTGTGATTTGATATTCTAGGCAATTTTTATTACGTTCATTACAGATTATTTGATGACGAATACAGTCTTGTATAGGATGAATAATAGTCTATTTACCGTAGTAAGGAAGATTGCTTATATTACTCAGTTTAATATTTTATTGAATTTTCTTTGAACACATAAATATTGGTACAAGGGGGCACCAGATATATATGCGCCACATAAAATATTGTCATTTCATTTTAATTGTATGAGAGCTATGATACTGTCCAGGTGTCCAAAACGAAGCAGGTGGTTTTCTAGGAGGCCACACCCCGAGCCTTTGACCTAAAAGTATGATCCATAAGGCAGTGGAGCATCATGAGGATATGTAGTCCCATGATGGCCAGTGACCAATAATTGGTTCATACGCCATTTGTTGCATCAGGATACTGGAGCCCTTGTGCACCACTGGTTTGAAATCAGGGTTTCCCGACCCCCTAGGTAAACTCACCGTATCCACCTGCCCGGGTAAAGCGCCGGACATTCGATTTTCATCCTCTCAATTTCGTAAACAACACCCCGCTACGAGAAGGCAGTGATACGACTTCCGTTGCAGAAGCTGTATACGCGTGACCGTGTGAGAGCATTTCGAGAGAGGGTGGCCCTTCCTAACTATCGGCCGTACCAGGACATTTGGAGGATACTAGGCCAAAATATTTCAGGATGTAGTCCATAATTTCACCTTTATTAAAAGATAAATGATCAGTAAGAAATTGCTTTATTACCTTTCTATAAACAATTTAGTATCTGATATTGTAGAAACAAACATTTTGAGTCAACTTTAATAAATAATTTGTTTTATCTCTCGTATCATCTGAAGCATTATTATGGTATATATTTATTCTTCTATGGAGTTTTCTAGCTATGAACAAAAATTTTTTGATGTGCCAAATATCCATACAAACCTATGAAGCAACGGTTACTGTTTGATAGGCCATAATAGTAAGATTGAAGCAATCGAAGTTGATATAGGAACAGTAGCACATCCTTAATCAATTTCTTAACAACTATTGGTTTGTAAAATCTTTACATAATTATGAATACTTTTTGAGCCATAGGGTAACTCAGATTGTAATCACTTATCTTGTTTCAGTAGAATCCAACTCATGTTTATATCCGTTAACATTTTAAGCATGTTTTGGAACTATAATTGTCCTAAATATAAGAATGAAAGAATGTAGCTACTGAACTAGGTTAGAAGTATAGAACTAAATGCAATTCAAAATACATAAGAGCACAAAACATTTACATCTAGTGAAAGTAAGCTACTGTTTACAGTTATCTTCATGAACCGATATTTCTATGTGGGAATGTCCGCAAGGTAGTCGTTTCTCGGCTATTACCGTTTAGTAACTGCTAACTATATGATAAAATCTTTATAAAGTCACTTGATGACTTACTTGAGAAGTTTTAAAATATTTGAAATGACCCCACAATTCATTGATGTCTCCATTCAACAGTAAACATGTATCAAGAACGATGACCTGAAACAATTAAATGAATATGTTCAGTTTCCAAATTTACCAAAGTTAACCATGATATGATAGTTAACAAATTTATTATTAGTGGGGTTTCTTTAAAATCTTTTGTGAATAGGAGAATATACCATGAAAAAAGATAGTGTTTTCTTACGATTTCACTGCTAGTAACGGTTTTTAAAATATAAACTCTGAAAGATAGTTTTGCTTCACTATAGTGTCAGCTTAATGACCTACTTTTCATCGGTTGTTTCTTTGATTTGACTTCAAGCAAATGAAATCACGAGTGTTCAAAATTTTTATTAAATGAGCAACAATTCATCATTACGATTCTCAACTCCAAAATAATTGTTCTATTTACGTGAATAAAATCATACTTATGAGGCTATATATGCTGTTAGTATGGTGGCTGGACCTTTTCATTAAAGTGTATGAAGTTACTTGTTTGTAATCCTCATTTTGATACTAGTTATCAAGTCTCACTGTGTTTGTTGAAAAGATATTTTAAAGTAATTAATTAAAATTTGATTAGTGAAACTAGAAAATAATGGACAAGCATTGTGGTGAAAATTGTTGTTATAAACTGATTTACTAGGTAAATTTGTGTTTGAGAAGTACCTTTCACTGACTTTGGTGATAAGTTTTTATTCCTTATATCAACTATTAGATTAGATAGTCTTCGTTGACAGCGACACCTCGGGTCTGAATGGCATTGAGAATCGCCACTTCTATCTTTATTTGAATCGAGTTAACTGAAAGCATTGGGAACTGAGTGATGCTTGTTAAACAGTGAATACATATACAAATTTTTGCTGCGAATTCTTGATGAAAGGTTATGAAAACATTGTTATCTAATTTACATGTCGCTTAGGTAATGTTTTGTTAGACTGTAATTATAGTTTACACAATTGAATGAACATTCTATTATTGATTTTCTTTGGAAAACAGTTATAGGCACGCAATCTCAAATCTATTTACTTTCAGATTGAGAATTATAAATTGGAGCATATTTGATTAGATACCATATCTACTGGTCTAAATAGTGTATCAAACGATTATGGAGGCAAGTTAGTGAGCTATAACGTAACTTTTTTCAACTTATGCTACTCTATTCTTCAGTCAAACGCCTTTTTAAAGAAACAATGAAGTGAGAAGTTAATTGTGTTCAGCAACTGTGCATTACGAATGTTGTATGTATTCATTAGAAGTTCTATGTTACACTATGTGCAGCTAGTGATTTATGTGAACTATGTTGACGATACCACATATAAATTTGGAACAAAGCCATAAAATATTCTACATTTGTAACCCATATATAAGAATGGTATCTGAAAATAGATATGTCAGTTATTCAGGTCAAAATTGACGTCAAAGGGTAGATAGTTAAATCAACAGTAACCTACGATCAACAATGACATAAAGCTAATTAGCATGTATTTATTTTTTGAGTCAGCCATCATGGGGGTTTTAAGGATTATGTGGGAATCAAAGTTTATGAGGAATGTTCCTTTATCAGTAAGAGGCTGTGGAAATTGTTGAATTTTATTAAAATTATAAGGCGATCTAAGCTATACCACCATCGAGGATCTGAAAGCACCGGATGGCTGTTTTGTCCTAGTGTGTGACTCCTCGGGTTCAACAATCTTCACAACCCCTTACAGACAATGATCCTATACCCACTAGTGACTAGTTATTCGTAATAAACATGACTTCTTATGACTGAAACTGAAGTTTGTCCAGTTGGTAATTGATTTGGAATAAAATAACCCGATAAAAGGCACTACTGACAACAATAAACTTAATAGTTGTTTTTCATAACTGTCAAAATGATGGTTTATAAGTGGAGTTTCATTTATTGTGATCAACTCGCTAATAGAGGAAATAGAAAAACCTAACTTAACATAATTATCCTTATCAGAAGCTATTACAGTAGTTGTTCAGAACTTGAAATTTATTTAACTGATTCACTAATGACTGTTTGAAATGTTTTGAATTTTGTCACGGTTAAGTTACCTATGAAAATACTTATCAATACCCTTTCATATTTCTCTTAAGAAAAACATTTATAGAATTTTTAAAACATTAACATCAGTACGACCATACCTGTCTGACATATTTTGGTAGAATTTCGGGTAATAATAATTTTAAACAAGATCTAATATCTGAAGAATGTTTTGATAGAACCCAGTCAATTTTATTCTGCAAGGAAAAAAGCAAATTGGTAACGGGTGAGTGGAAAAGTATATAAATAAAAACATCACTACAGATTGGCTGAACTCGTTTCAGTGTTCTTATGGGGTATACTTCCATAATAAATAAATGATTTAAGTTTAAAACCTTTGATCACTCAGTACACTCTTCATAGTTAAGTAACACAATAAAGCATTTGCATTAGAAAGCACATTTCTCAGTCTGACTCAGTTGTCCCGATAAGAATTATGGATGGTGACTTTTGAGAACTATTTATGGACCAATATGATACACATATTTTTATTGTATAATTGTTTAGTAACTAAACTATTCATATTCGTGTTTCTCTTATGATAAGGTTTATTTTGACCTATGAACTATTATTATACGATTTACCGTTGTTGAGTTATTCTCAGTCTATCAGTTATTACCTCCCACATTCACAGAGACTTTTGGCTAAATCTTGTACAAATGTTATTTTCCATTTTATGATACGATGTGGTCTGTTTGTTTGGTATATAAACTCAGTATGCTTGTAATAAACGATTCACACCGCAAAAAATTGTTATAACTTGTGACCGCCTGGATGCCCTGTTAATGGATAACGTGATAAGATCGCCAATCAGAGAGCAGCGAGTTATGATCCGGACCTATGATTCACGAAAACCGTACGAGCAGTCTAGAGTACATGTCGGTCCTGCTTTCTGCTTAGCCCAGCCAGTTAAGTCTAGAACACCAATAACAACCTCTGCGGTATGAATCATTGTTTTTCAAACATACTGAGTTTATATACCAAACAAACAGACCACATCGTATCATAAAATGGAAAATAACATTTGTACAAGATTTAGCCAAAAGTCTCTGTGAATGTGGGAGGTAATAACTGATAGACTGAGAATAACTCAACAACGGTAAATCGTATAATAATAGTTCATAGGTCAAAATAAACCTTATCATAAGAGAAACACGAATATGAATAGTTTAGTTACTAAACAATTATACAATAAAAATATGTGTATCATATTGGTCCATAAATAGTTCTCAAAAGTCACCATCCATAATTCTTATCGGGACATAACAGACTCACGCTCTCAATCTCCCAACATACAGGTCTAAAAATAGGCTTAGGTATTGGTTTAAATTTAATATCACTGTGCCTTAAAATATTAGGAAGCTATATGGTGTTTTTAAGTAACAGTTTTCTTGCAATCGCGGAACTGACTCCACTCTTTTCTACATTTAACAATGTAAACTTATGAAGATTCAACAAAGTATTAGACAAATTTATGTGAATTTTGTAAATGAAGATTGACAGTTTCTACGTGATAAAACCTAGTCTCACTATCAATTTTCTTAGCTAAGAAAGAGATATGAGTACCTTCTATAGGCATGTTTACCTCAGCTCAATACATTATAAATAATTGAAGCGTTCATCATCGGATTGAAATATCCAACATTCTTACAACACACAGTTGGATATAGTAATTAATATGATGGAAATAGTGTGATAGTAATCATTTAAGTTATACACGAGGTATCTTTTAATGTTTCACCAAGTGGTATAAGTTGCGAACAAAATAACAAAATAATGATAACAAACGAACAAACCAAATAACGTTGGTATTCGTAAAATTGAAATTTCATATTTATCAATTGCCAATTTTGTTCCATTTTTTGAAATTTCAGTTGTGTGGGTTTATCAGTAATAAAATGGAAAGTTATTGGACCACTAGTCTTCAGTATTTTCTTATGTGAACATTGAAAGTTTCTATTCTTGTTTTGTTTGCAGAAGTCACTGAGACAACATCTTTTATTTTGACAACGAAAGCGTTTTTGGTGATACAGTATAGATTTGATCAGTGCATCCATATAACTCAAGTCTTTATCACCTTTAATCAGTGAGACTATATGAATTTTATTATTCTGAAAATAATAATGATAACAACAGTGATGGGATATAATAAATAATGATGAAATAAGCATAGGAGTAAGACTCAAAAAGTTACTACATGTAACTATGATCATATAACCTATTATGGCTTTTGATCTTTTTTAAACTTGAAAAACTGAGAATCATTTATAGATGAACAGCTGTGAATAGATTCAATAATGTCAACACCGACCAAACTAGAACATGGATTTTATATTCCTTAATTTATGTAGAATATGACTAGTGTGAGATTAGTTAATTTAAATTTAACTCTTTTGAAGCATTAATTTGGTGAGAGTGTATTTATTATCTAGAGGATGGTAACACCTATTACGCAGTAATCTTGGATAAAGTGACCGTGATTTACTAAATATTTATTTCTAACTATATTTGTCCTTGTTGTGTTTTCTAAGATGGGTGGTTTAATTACAAAGACCCCATCGATATATTCATTAACATGCAAGTAGTTCTAAAAACAGAAAGAAACCAGTATATAGTAAAGTGTTATTATTTATATATTTGGCATGGTGGTCAGAAATTCATAAACTATTTCAGAAGCTGAAACACATGGTTATCAAGGTATATCGTTAAACAAGTCTGAATATCATTAACTCATTTCTTACCTCTAATCTTTTGTTGAACACATGAGCAATTAAGTAATTACTGATCTCCACTATTTTAAGTTCTAATATCAATTTTTCAATCTCAAAACTACCTAGCTTGCAAGAAAGTAACGCAAGAGAATCAAATTCTTTTAAGAACTTTACCACATAAATTCTTTCAATTAAGTTATAAACATGATTATATATTTATAATACAGTTCAAGATTTCCTGCCTACCGATTCATTAGCCGTAATGTCACTGAATACAGCTGGATTTCATCTGGGAATTTCAAAATTCACTTATTACTGTTCCAATTGGATGTTGCTTATTAAGCCATCAAAACTACCGCATTAATAGTACAAATGCGAAAAAACTTACGCTTAAAAGATGTTGATTTAAAAAGTAAATGAACTAACTTTGGTTACTCTCTGAAGATTTTGAGTTTTTTTTATATCTTTTGTTAGCACTGTCACGGATAACAAATAGATAAATACAGTGACAATTAAACCAGTAATCGTAATAACAAAACCCTTCGATTTGAAAGGTGAGTTTCCTCTCTTTAAGCAAAAGAATTTCATGGTATTATAGTATTAGACAGCAAAAAAAGAACAATACAGTCTTCAAGATGTATATATAGATCAAAAGCTAACAAATTATTGATCCATTTGATCTCAATTTGACAACGCTTTTTGACAAACAGCAGCCAATAGAAAATTATAAAACTTACAGCTTGGTAGAAATTAAAGAGAAACTCAATAGAGCACCTAACAACCCTGTTATTCATACAGACAAGAACACTGCTGTCTTGAAACAAGGACGATAAAGTGTTTAGAATGCTAAACCAGTGATAAATGCTTTGTCCTTCCTGTATCTAAATAATGCTTATGTATGACAGGCATTAATCTACACACAAGGGTGGTCAAATAGTTACTTCAGTAAACGAGATCGTGTTGTCAGCAACAAGCATTTAAGAAGCTGGCACTCGCTCTCACTGAACACGGTTATTACCTATGAGATACTGAGAAAATGACTGAAAATTTGTGACTAATTTGTGTACATGAATGGTGTTTGGAGAATGAGCAATATTATTTTTACTAATTTTTAGAACAAACTGAAGTCTAACATTCAGGTTATATATATATCAACTGATAGTAATTTGAGGTTCATCGCATTTGGTGTTCAAATAACTACAGACAATAATTATTTGATCAAATGAAATCTTTATTATGAAAGGATTGTGACAAAATACTAAGTTTAACTCTTTCCCTTATTCAGTAATCGTTTAGGAAAACCTGAGAATTCAGAACGGCGTCTGATTTATAAATACGTTCATACTAACAATATTAATCAATATGAGAAACAAAAGTTTGATCGATAACTTACACAAACGAATGACAAATTTCTTTTAATATCAACAACTAAATGATAGTGCTTGTTCTCTACAACCAGTGGGAAATTGTTGGTATATAGAACATAAAACTGTTGTTGGACTACAAGATGTAAACTCAAATGGTGTTTTTTGAAGACCATACGGGTCGATGTAGAATTTCGTGTATGGTGAGAAAATGTGCCAAGAAGAATAAAATTGCAGCTTGTTTCCTCAAATCCATCGACAACGATAACGTAAGTTTTCTGAAAAATCTGACTTTCCCAGAAAGACCTATTCTATTGTCTTATAAAAGTCTGCAAAAATTACCAATGTCAGATCAAAAGCGACGGCTTTGAATATATATAAATATACCAGCCAGAATAATACCCACTAGATATATTTAGATTTCTGAAGTACTTATGCCAATACAATAACTTGCTAAAAACGCTGGCCAGAATAAACAAATTAAAGCATTTGAACTATACCCTCTGAGTTGAATAACATATTATGACACCTCATGATGAAAGCCAATGTTCTTCAGAAGTCACAAGGCTTATGCCTCTTCTAACAACCAGAGAAATAATTTATATAGGTACATGGAATGTCCAGACAATGAGAGAGCCCGGCAAGATCATTCAAATAACAACAGAAGTAAGCAGATACAACTCGAAAGTGCTCAGGATAAGTTAAACCCATTAAACCCAAGCTGAACAGAAAAGGATGGATTCAAATGAGATGCTACTGTACTCTGGTCACGAATAGCAAAATGCTCTACGCATAAAAGAAGTTTCTCTAATGCTGTTTGTAAATAATTCCCCAAAATCAATAGCTCATTAAGTGTTCGACATTGGATGCTGACCACGTTGTTTAAGTGGACTTGTTTAGCTGGAGGCTTTCGGTCATGCATCCGTACCAGATCACGTTTCAACTCGGCGTGGGACACTGCTCCTACGTTCATTAGCCAGCTTATAGTAAAGGTTCCTCGATATATTGGTAACGTATCAAATATATCTTTCCTACCTTTTCTCGTCTGACTTCTGATTTCCTCTGGCCGGGAACGATCGATTATAGAAGATACTACTGGTATCTAGTTGTAAAACTAGAATATCCGTTGTATCCTTCACTGTCCAGGGAAGCAATAAAAGCAATTGTAGGATGGGAATCTCATGGATCCAGAATCATCAAAGCATCCATCAAAACAAAAAAGGATGGGATCAGGAAAAGTGTTATACAGTGCTATGCACCCACCAATGGTAGCAATGACGACGATAAAAGTCAGTCCTATGAGTTTACAATCGATCGTAGAGAGATTCTCAAAAAAGGACTCAACCATCTTAATGGGAGATCTAAATGCCAAAGTCGGAATGGACAACACTGGGTATAAAGAAAAGGAGCATCAGAGCCGAAAGACAGAAATACATGGAGAATTTAGCAATAGCAGCGGAAAATGTTGCAAGAGAAAGGTATATGAATGAACTATATAACACAACAAAGACACTAACAGGGAAATAAAGTAGACAAGAGATACCGGTGAAGCACAAAGAAGGCAAGCAGCAAGTGAGATTCAGGAACAGAATAACAGATTATTATTATTATTATTATTTAAACACATAAATATTGGTACAAGGAAGCACCAGATAACTATGCGCCTCACAAATCTCATTCGATTTGTGTGAAGGCTGAGATACTGCCCAGGTGCCCAAACCGAAGCAGGTGATTTTCTTAGGGGACCACACCCCGAGCCTTTGACCTAAAGGTCTGGTCCACAAGGCAGTGGAGCATCGTGAGGATATACAGTCCCATGGTAGCCGGTGACCAACAATAGGTTCATACGCCATTCGTTCCTTCAGGATACGGGAGCCCATGTGCACCATTGGTTTGGAATCAGGGTTTTCCAACTCCCCTAGGTGGACCCTCCATGTCCACCAACCCGGTTAAAGTGCTGGACATTCGCTCTTCGTCCTCTCACTTTCGTAAACAACACCCCCGCCACGAGAAGGCAGTGAGTAGGACTTCCCTGGCAGAGGCTATATATTCGCGTGGCCATATGAGAGCATTTGGAGAGGGAGAGCGGACTCTCCCCACTCTCGGCAGTACCAGGGCATTTGGGGGGAATATCAGATTAGTAGAACACTGGGGAACTCTTTCACAGACCAGCTTCACTGGATCCAACCGACACCGAAGCCACACCTACAGACTGTCCTGAAGATATCACTCTACTAGCGGCCAAAGAAATCAACACGACAGTCAGACGAATCAGGAGTGGGAGAGCAGCAGGACCTGACATTAAACCAGCTGAAGCACTGAAGTCAGACAGGGAAGTAACTGTAGTGATGTTCCACCTTACCTTTAATGACATTTGATGAGAAGAACAAGTGCCGAAAGACTGGAAATAAGGATACCTCATCAACATAACAAAGGAAGGGGATCTGAGAAAATGTGAGAACCACAGAGGTATCACACTACTATTGGCACCATAAAAAATTTTCAGCAGAGTGTTGCTAGACCGGATGAAGCATTCAGTTGACGCTTAGCTTCGAAATCAACAGGCCGGATTCCGTAAGGACCGATCTTGCACAGACCACATTGCGACACTACGGACCAATGTTGAAAAATAGACTGAATGGAACTCGTCACTCTACATGACATTCAGTGACTATGAGAAAGCGATTGACAGAGTGGATTCGAGGACCTTATGTAACTTTCCTCGAAATTATGGTGTACTTGGAAAGACTTTCAACATTATCTGGACTTCATGCGACGGACAAAAGTACAGAGTCGTGCATAGAGGACAGCTGACAGATGCATTCCAAGTTAGGACCGGAGTCAAACAAGGCTGCCAACTCCCCATCTTTCTCTTTCTTCTGCTGACTGACCGGATTATGAGGATCTCCACACTTCAGGTGAAGCATGGATTACAATGGGCAGCTTGAATGTAACTAGACGATTCGGAATTCGTGGATGCCCTTTTCTTTCTATGGCATACACACGAACAAATGCAGATGAAGATAAGTAGTGTGATAGAAGCCTCTGAGTTAGTAGGTAAAATCACACCAAGATCCTCAAATACAACGCCGAAGAACAACCGAATAATACTTGATGGAAAAACTTTGGAAGAGGTGGAAACTCTTACGTATCTGGGTAGCATCATAGATGAACAAGGAGGATCGGATTCAGATGTAAATGCGAGTATTGGCAAAGCAAGGACAGAATTCTGACATTTGAGGAATAAATGGAACTCAAAACAACTGTCAACCAACAACAAAGTGAGAATCCTCAATAAGAACGTCAAGACAGTTCTACTGTACGGAGCTAAAACGCGAAAAACGACTACAACCGTCATCAAGAAGGTACTAGTAAAGTGTGTCTAGATGCACTTTCGGGATACAAATGTAAATAGACACAGCATAGAGGAAGTAACTGTACCCCTGATCCGGTCTCACAGGGATCTTAAGGTGACAATGAATCATGATCTTAAGTACACAGCCCATAGCTCGGAGGTTGACCTGATGTCATATGCGAACTGTGAAAAAAACACATTTCAAGCAAACCTTGCACTGGCAACGTTGAAGCGCATTTTTGGCCAGTTTGACGGTAGAACATTCCATGTAATCTTCAACAGTCTTATTCTTCCCCATTTAGAATACGGAAACATAGTATTTCCTCCTCCCTCTAAAGGGATAAGGACACTCTGGTACGTATCCCACGTCGAGCCACGAAATCAGATCGCGGAATCAAATTCAAACCTTATGAAGAGCGCCTCAAATCACTTAACATTTGCCCGTTAGAGTACAGGCATCTTAAAGGTGATCTTCTTATGACTTACAGTATCCTTAATACTTCTGCTCATCCCCTTAAACACCTTCTTGAGCTTAGTCATAACACTAACCTAAGAGGTAACACCCAGAAATTGGAGACCCAACATAGCAGAACAGACTGCAGGCACAAATTCTACTCCGTTAGAGTTGTCAAATGCTGGAATTCACTGCCGACTGAGCTAGCCCAAACAACTTACCAGGAGTCCTTTAAGAGGAAACTTGACTTATTCTTAAGGACTAAGGATAACATATTATTATGATTTGCCAATTTCTTTTTTCCTCTATTATCGTTAATATACCTAGGTTCTTGACTGGAGGTATTGGTGATCCACTGCTACCAGACACGGAAGCCCGTTAAGCGAAAGCTTCTTCTATTCCATCCTCAACCATTTGAGCCATTTGAACCATTACATAATTATGAATCTGACATCTAATTCCTTACTCAGATCTATGACCCTAGTAAGTCGTTAGAGTTTCTCAAGATCACTTTAGTATCGCCCAAAATTAGTTCATAAATCTCAGTATTATCCAAACCTCTGCTTTAAACCAAGGCACAAACTTAATGGGTTTGGCAGATATTTTACATTGAAACAGTTGTGTATGTCCTTCGGAAAATGGGAAACATTTGAACGTGTGATGGCTGAAATATTTTATAACGGTAGGAGAGTTGATGGTCGCAGACCAAATGAAATTAGACGAGTAGATTGTCAGTTCGGCTCGGGTTATTCTGACGGAATAGTATTTCTGCATCAAGGTAATTTCAATTTTCGGTTTCCATAAGCCGTAAACTTAATGACTTCAGGGAATACCAAGGTGATTGCATCCGTGGTTGGACCCCATGCTCCTAGAGTAAAAGGTGATGGTACTCCAGATGGTGCAACGATAACGTGTCAATTTACTAAGCCTCCTTTTGCATCGACTTCAGGGGAGCGTCGCAAACTGTCATCAAAAGATAGATCAGCGAATGATTTTGCTACTGCCATTGAGGTGACGAAAATCTTCAGTTAAATTTTAGTCAGAACTAACTTTCAGTTTTATCATGGATAGGTCGATAGTTGCTTTAAAGTTTTCAAATGATATATCTTGTTTGTTCATGGCCATAGAGAAGACTACTAGATGTGTTTTCATTTTGAAAATAGAGTTAGCTTGGCGCTATCAAACTTCTTAGGCGGTCTTATTGTTGGTTTTACTTTGCAGTCAACGCTATAAGCACATTGCGTGTATTGCTACATCTTTGTTTCTCTAGCTTGCTTCAACCCATCATAGCAGAACCATACGCCTCTGATTAATTAAATTGTTCTATATCTATAATGACAAGTTTTTTTTCTACCGAAGTCAAGGATTAGTCGTTATTAAAGTATCGGTAAGTGGATCGTATCAATCATTATGTGTTAGGGATAACGTCTGGCTTCCGTCAGTTCTCTGACTACAACATAAACGAAATGTTAGTGTCTTCCAATCAACTCTTACTGATTCCATAAAGGTAAAAAAATCTAATCATCAAGTTCTAGGCCTTAGTGAAAAAGGCGGTTTGGGATTAGTTGGACCTAGTTTTTGTCGAAATTATCAAAGCCATTGATCATGGGTGTAACGCACGTAGCACTTTTGACAAGTCCCCTACCCGTATTATAAGTCAAATATTCATTGTCTCTAGGGTTAGAGTTCTCAATTTCAAAACACTAGTTAGGTGGTTGATAGATTTGTAAAAAGTGTCACTAAACTATCCAGAAACATCGTCTTTTATTTCTCAAAACCAAAGATTAGCATACAATCTGTTTATAAGTTTTATTGTATCCACCTTTAAAGTACAGCGAACTCAAATGGTTTGTCGTACAAATACACATACACACACGGTTTGTGTATGTCAGGTGATTCTTGAAGTGAAAGAAACAAGTTTTAGAGCATGGACACACCGTATTTTTGAACAAGTTCGGCAACCGCAGAAGTTTATTAAACAAAGATTTTGGTTAAAAATCGTGCTTTTACAAAACAGATGCTCAGATAATGAGATGTGTTTATTCAAGATGTATGAAAAATGAGATCTACTCGGATATCGTTTTTCTATCTGATTCATGTTTAGTCTGCGCGTCATAGTTCTCAGTCGTGTTTCTCGCATCTTGGACTTCGGCTTTTTTGTTTCACTTATTTTATAATATTAAGATTTTTACGACGGATATGTCATTTTACACATATGTAGGAGATATTTTCATGTGTCATCAGGACAGAAAAGTACCCAATGTCTCAAATAGATATTTTTCTTGAAGTTATTCAGTCAGATGGCTCTGAGTTTGCTTGTGCTGTAAATGCAACCACACTTGCCTTAACTGATGCTGGGATTGAAATGGATTGCCTCGTCAGTGCAGCTACAGTTGGTGAGCAACACTACATGTTTATTGTTTTCATGAATTTTCAAGAAACCTTCCCTAGTACTTTTATCCTGTTTATGCTTTCCTATAACATCCCTGAAATCCTGTTATCCAGTGACATAGATATTTTCATTTGCTAATTGGTGCAATTTTTTCGTTTGTTTTAAAACCTGGTTTCAAAATGTTATCAAGAATGTAAAAATTGTTCCCAATTGTAAACTTTTCCTGTTCTGTTCGTCATTTATGTAATGAGCTAAAAAGTAGTGGGAGCAAAGATTCAGCAGTGAAATTTCAGCACCAATCAACCTTAATGAGCTACTGACAGACTATGTACCATAAGTATCCATATCTAGGCTTTTCTTGATAATTCCAAACGAGTTGAACATTGGGTGTACTGTTAATAACAAATTAATGATATATTTTCAAAATCTGAATGAGTGGGCAATCGTGATTTTGACGTCTCATGACAGTGTAAGTCCTCTCCTCAGAGAACAAATAGGTAAAGTAATCAAATTAACACAAATTTGAATAGTATACGGGGAACAAGGCGGAATATTTTAGTACGATCAAGATCCGGATATTTCTGATCATGTCAATGTTTTGTAATTTCTGTCAAGGTGATCCTGTATGAGACCTGCTTGTGTGTATTTTAATGGGTGTATGAAATGTGGCATTTGTAATGTAGAAGAGTAGAGTTAAAAACATTTGTACGTTTGTTGGTGGTGTGAGATGCTAAAAGAATTGAATATGTGAGTATTCGGATAAATGGTCGTTGAAGATCTATTTAAGTCATTCAACGTGCATCACAAATCTTTCTGCAAAGGTATATTCACAAATGAACAATCGTGTTAGAAAAATTCCGTCAGTATGTCACTAACCTAGATGATTTCCGCCGGATTACATATTCACGCTTTCAACTTCTTTCAGTTAAATAGGGGTTCATTATCTTTATTCATCGAAACCTAGACGAATCGAGAAATATAAAAAATATTAGGAAAAGAATAAAAGAAAAAAGACATTAAGTACCAAAACTGCATAACATTAACATAGTCAAACATATCCAGGCCTTGATCGTACTAAAATGTTCCGCCTTGTTCCCCGTATACTGTTCAAATTTGTGTTAATTTGATTACTTTACCTATTTGTTCTCTGAAGAGAGGACTTACACTGTCATGAGACGTCAAAAACTCAATTCCCCACTCATTCGCATTTTACGAATATATTATCACTGTTATAGTCTACTTTACGTTGATAACCTTAGATCTAGATATATGGTCAATTACAATTTTATTTTATTTTCAAAAGTAATTCACCAGGTCAAATATGAAACACCCGAATAGATAGTTCTTGACTCTTTGTAAATATATATATATATATATATATATATATATATAATTTGTGTACACTAAACTCGTGGCTTTTTAACCATACAAAGTTTTTTTACTGCGCTTTTGACAGGTCTTTGGGGTTCACATGTGTTCGCTGACCTTTGTCGCTTTGAGGAGAATCCACGTATATCACAGTTAACCGTTGTTTGTCTTCCCAATGTTCACCTGCTTTCCGGAGTGAATAGAGAGGAGCAAATAGGTCAGTGGAAAAGCCAACCTCAAATCCTTCATACACGTCTCTCTTCTTGGTTACCTGTTGAGAGACTACAACCACTCATAACAGAAGCTGTGAAGGTAGCTCAAACACTTCAAAAGGAATTTTCTTATTGGTTACGTGGCCGTGTACGTAGTGGTTTTATCACCAGATGATTAACGTGATTCACCTTTATAAAAGGACATTTTAAGCTATACCAGATATATTATCTGAGTATGATTTATATGAAATGCAATGTTTCACGACTGACCATGTAAAGTTACAATATAAATTATCATCCCGACTTTTAAATTAATTAAACAAAACTGACTTTTTAACATGTTACGTCGCACAAAATTCTCTTACGTAATTTCTCCGACCAAATAATCCAGTTAGCTTACTGGTCAGAATGCTTCCTTCCTCAAAATGAAATTGAGATAGATTTTTCTGAATTCGACAAATAAGCCTCTACCTTAAAAGTAAAATCCAATAGACGGCGTAGGAACTCATGTTGACCGTAAACTGAGACGTTTAAACGTCAAAGTCCTGGAATTCATATATGCTACTGTGTCATTTTAGGTGGAATACTCTGACCTTTTAACCGCACTCGTAGCTCTAGACGTACGGTTTTATGGGAACACACATGCTTCTTAGGGAGCAGCAAGTAGTATCCCTCAAAAAACTATCAAATCTCGATTTTGTGAAAAGTTTATGGGAAGAGCAAGCTCTCTTCTTAGTATACATTTTAGTTCATAAAGTTGAATCTTGTCCTTTCCATAGCAAACTGATCATCGTAAATTCCTTGCATTTTAGGACTACTTCTGAGTTGACATTTTCTGAATATATGTATATCTTGATATCCTTCGACAGTTCGAATTTTAACATCTCATTCTAATAAGCAAAATAGTCATCTGTTTGCCGAATTCCATTCATCACAGGTTCGGGAAGTTCAGTTCATTCATAATACCAGGTCTAGTGAACAATACATTGTACTCGGTTACATGACAGTACCTATCTGTTTCGAAAAACTGACTTAACCCATTACTCAGAACGTACAATTAGCTAAACACATGCAACAGCTAACTTTTTTTATGATAACATAAAGTGCATAGAAAAGTCGAAAATGTTATATCCTGGTGAAGACATAAGTACGGGTAACTCCCAGAACCTATTAATGGACTATTCTATATATATTGTTATTGTATAACTATTCGGTGATTAGATTTAATCTATATATATTCATCCTATTATAAGCTTTGTTTTGACCTATGGATTATTATTATACCATTTACTGTTCCTAAATTATATTCAGATTATTGTCTCCCACGTTCACAGCCACATTTGGTTTGATCTCGTACAAATCTTATTTTCTATCTTATGGTGTGATGCGGTCTGTCTGGTATATAAACCGAGTATGTTTGGAATAAATGATTCGCATAGCAGAAGCTGCAATTAGTGTTCTGGACTCATTGGAAGGGCCAGGCGGATAAGGGACCAATAAGGATGCTAGACTGTTCATACTGGTCGAACGTCATTGTTTTGGCACAGTGTTAAGATTAGACAAGTCGTATTCCGATTGTTGGATAATTCACGTGATAAAAGGTGGACATAAAATCATAACGAATTGGCATACGGTCTATTATTTCTACAAAGTCACAACAGAAAAGTTTAGGGGTTTTTTGTCACCAAGTCTTACCACAAATTAACAGAAAGTATCCTTTACATCAAAAGTTTCGTATAAGGATTTGAAGCTTTAAAACTTTTCAGATATACTAAAGTGACTACCAATTTTTCTGGAATTCAGCCTAAAAGAGTTTGGGATGACTCACCAGACTATATTTTACGATTTAAAAGAACCTAGCCGATCAGTAATACCTTACAAAGAAATAGCGAAACAACTTGTTACCATATATAAATGTGTAGTGTCCCAAGCTATGTGGACGTTGAGATAAAGATTTGTGGCTCAGGTGAGTTGTTTTGCTGGAGTTTCGTTCTCTGAACTGGATAGCTTGACCATCAGAAAACATTTTTTTAAAGACGTGTGGTAACAATGTGATCTAAAACCATTTATCATCGAGTTGTCATGGCCCAGAGTTACCGATCTCCAGACTTTATACTGGAGCAAGTTTTTACTGCCCATCAAATGGCGATCCTTTTCCTGTGAATTAAAGTAAGTTCATAACATCACAGTGAATCTCCGCAGAATCCAATCACTGTCAGTAGTAGTCACACAAAGTAGTCCAGAATAAAGTGGATTTCAGTAAGGAAATGAATTTAACTGTAAAACCTGTTATTGCGTACAACTATTACACCAGGTATGCAAATTGAATGAAGTGTCATTCAAAGCAGCAGTTAACTTTTAGACTTTTCAGAGCTACAGTCGACGCATACGGTAAATATCAATTCCTCACTGGATGTTCCGTATCCATACACAAGAGACCATAGTTTGGCTGCAAACGTATGCAGAAAAGCATATTTAAATGCAAAGTCAATTATGAATTTGTGATATCAAGTATATACATTTATTGAAAGTATAAAAATAACAAACCATCTCACAGTTGAAAAAATATGTGTAAGACAGTTACTGATTGAGATGGAATTGGTTAAGTACATTAAAATTAATCAGTTAGCTTGTTGGAATGACCGAATTACAAAAGTCATTAATTTCCATCAACCATTCGTCTAAAGACCACGAAATCGGTGGAACAAAATTACATGGTTCTGCCAAATGTGGTTCGGGATGATCTGGATCAGACGATTTTCTGATTTTCACAAGACTGATTGGACCGTTCGGAGCTATATGTATAGTGGCTGTTGCCATAACCCCTTGACCTGCTAGCAGATGAAAATTGCGTGCAGAGAGATCCCAATCAAGTGGGTACATTGAACTCAGTCGTTTTATGTCCTCTGTCAAGGTAAAGTCTATACGCAGCTGCTGCTGGATGCATGCTACGATTGTACTTGAAGCGAGGGCTGATGTGAGACTTTTAGACAAACTGATTACGCTTTTGTCACAGCCAATAACCTAAAGATGAGAAAACAGTAATTAAGACAAGAAATCTTGTTAGGTCCTGTTTTGAAAATTCGATATGGAACAAGGATAGTAAATAATTTTTGGTCGTTTTCTCCATTCAACAATCTGATGTGATTTATCGGATCTAGTAAAACATTACGAAGTTTTAAGGAATGTTTGAGAAATTTTAGTAAATATTTCATATTGCAATCGAGATATTAAAAATCCAATGCGAAACTTACGGAGGTCCTTACAACTTGAACGAATGTTGGGTTGTTAGAATGAATAGAAACAATACCGATCGATAGAACAACGCATTGGTAATAACCGTTCACGAGACCAGATCATCGACTTAGATACTTGAGTTAACCGATATTAAAGACAAGGCCAATAGCCTGAATAAAAGGTTTTTGATTATTAATTTAACATCCTTATAAGCAAGATATTAATATGACAATAAGAGTATTTAGATGCACATGAGATGGGAGTAATCAGTTTTGTAGGTTACTCCACTCTTAGGGTTATTTCTCATCTATCATCTGAAGAACCAAATAGTTTGGGAGATTTGATCAAATTACATAAGAATGAACAATTCTCATTATTCCTATGCTTTTGCGAATAAATAAGTGAGGGTTTAGTTACAAGGATTACAAAGTATTTCCCATCATCAAAGTAAATGAATTAGACTGAGTAAAGTGGTAATCATTGACAATAAAATGGAGAATTATCTTAAATGATTAAGTGTTTGCATCACTACTCAAAAAGCAGCTTATGCTGTTAGACTATCAAAGAATTTTGTGGCATTAATGTACGTTCTTCGAAACACACAGTATCCAAGTGTGGCCATCCGCTTAACCTTATCATGTCAGCTTAGAGAGCCTGGGATATTTACTCTCCGTGTATCTAGGGTTGAGACTACTACTTTTCGTAGTGTCGCTGGCGTGGGTGTAGTACAAAGTTCGAAGGCAGAAGCTGAAATCCAATGGACAGTCGCTTATGCGCTGTCCAACCAAATGGAGGAGTAAGAAATCGGAAACATGAAGACAATCGTTTATGCTCAGCAATTATCATCTTAAGGCACAAAGAAAATGTCTGAAATGATGACCACTGAAATCAACTCGACGGACTCAAATAGACCATATTGTTACCAGCTATTGGTTAGAGAGGCTCAACAAAAGATCATCACTCATTCGAGAGCACATGTCTAGCCTCCGATCACGATCTTATCTACATCTTACTAGACACAGCACGAAAGCCCCTTGGAGCCCAGATTAATGATTTTAAAAAGTCAACAGTATATTTCATAAACGAGAAAATCAGTTAGTTAATCGTCAGATTGATGTTCACCGAAATGAGGGTTGACACGATATCCAAATTTTTGTAAAAACTGTGGTGATATGTACCAGTAATCCAACCAAAAGGTTAAAAATAATCAGAATTTCGATAGTCCAGAGTGAGTTGATAGTTCATCCTATCAAACTGGGGACACAGTGACGAGCGAAGACAACTTAAACACAAAATCAAAGAAGTTCACATAATGGTTTTAGGCAGCAGTCAGTTAGCTACAACGTAGGACCAGGTACATATATGTATCGATCCAAGTTGACATACCTCATTAGCATAACAAGATGAATACCAAATCCAGAGTAGTTAATTTCATAGTGGTAATATATAAAAGAAAGATTGTATATAAGGATATAGTACAAAAAGAAGGAAGGATATGAAGCAATTTTAATCTCATAGTTTGATGGAAGACATAAAGTGTATACACCTACGCCATTGTGATCGATTCTGAGCCATGTCACCTAGTCTCCAACCATTGGTTACGATAGTCACGTGGACCCCAATCAAGTAGTCTGCATCTACCAACATGGCTCAGACTAGAAGTTAGTGACTTCAAGCACTGATACCACGTTTTGGTTTGACGACCCCTAACTGTCTTCCAACCATCCCTATACTAGTCAGCATTGCGCGTCGTGGTAATCGGTGTTCAGGCAGCGAAAGCAAAAGACATGGTAAGAGCGGTGGTGACCCCGATATAAAACAACTTTTCAGGATTGTCAAAGAAACAGGTATTAAAAACTTGAGATTTAATTAAACTAATTCGGATAAGGTTAAGATAAAGACTCCTCTCAATCCAATAAACCCATGGAAATGTTTGCCTTATTGAAAAGAGACTGAAATGCTTAAAACCTTATTGCTTCGTGATTTAAGACCTCCTACAACTTCAGTTACAGCAAACAAAGTAAACAGATTTCAAAAATATTAGTTTACTATGGAAACCCTGTACTCCCTTCTATGACTAATATTTCTATCACAATTCGAGTTGATGATTTCCTCTCCGTGTTAATGTGGTATGTCAACTGGAACCGATTCACAACTCAGTGTGTAGACTTTTCGTATGACATATATAAAGTATCCTATTAATTAAAAGGTAACTCACCTAACTCGATAAATCAGTCATCTTACATTTATAATGTACTGTATGGGACCTAACATGGAAAGTTTTAAAACACTTCCAAAATGATGTCAAAAACAGCTTATTAAACAAAAGAGAAAATTTTGTGGATTTACTTTTGATGTGACAAATTCCGCAAGCTTGACTAGTCGAAAAACTACCAAGCTTTAAAACAACTTTTACACAATGTATATGAGCACAGAAGCAATCACACGAATCTGTTTTGTATAAAACATAATCCAGTGGGCAGTTACAAAAAGCTGCCATATCTGTCAAAACCAGTGTCTCACTCAATACAGAGAACTAGATAACGTTTTTTTAAACTTACTCTGTTATCAGCCAGTGCAATAGTTCCAAAATCTCCATGTTTTAAAAGGCTGCGAAGTAAAGGTTTTTCAACTAGGCTCTTTGCTGGTTGAGTCTCGTCAGTATTAAACCTCCATATAACATAGGACGAATTTAGACGTAGTTTTCCAAGTTTTTGAGCATACCATTCTTGACAATACCTGTTGAAATTAGCGGTAGACATTTCAAGTGTCGTAAGATTAAAGCAATGGCAAACGCCAGATAGTAAATAAACGAAGATTTTTAGCACTTCAAGTAGACAGACACTTCACTGACGAGACGGTTGAAATGACCTAGTCGACCTAGACAGGCGAGAACACTAGTGCTTTGAGCTACCGCAGAGACTGGGGCCACTGACGTACCGTAGGAATCACAGACATTCATTAGTCAGGTCATATTTATATTATTCAAAGTTATATGCTTGACATCCCCGGTCAGATTGTAAGTAAACAATGTAACTATTTTACGGTAGTGGATCATTATTTACTTTAACTAATCAGCTATATTGATTCAAATACATTAGGTTATTCAAACAGTGAGTCTTTATTCTTATCATTCAATCAATTTAGGTCCTAAATTATTTGTTACCTGAATGTTGAGTCATATAACAGTAGAAACAATTCCAACCTGAGTTGATGGGTCCAAAGAGGAAAATCAATTTGATAGAGATTTAACGGAAGCAGAACAATTCTCTCTAATGACTGTCAATTCCATTTTGGCAAGCAGTAAGCTATATGCGAACCTTGTGAAGGTAAGACGCCTTTGATGTTACCAGTAGCTAGCAATACTTACCAATTTTCCTTTTTGATACATTAGTAGTGTACTGACTTTTAAGGTACTTTTAGAACAAGAAACTATCCATTAACAACTATCTTTAGCACGGATATAGAAAGTACACATAATCTTACCAGTCAACACTCTGGTGTATCGAGCTACCGACTGTCTATCGACAGGTGAGTAGACTGAGTGACGAATATATATGTATGACTGTTAATCACTATGCGCTCTTGACTCTATTTGATAACAAACTACGAGAAGGTTGTTGGTTTTACAAACCATGATGGTTGCATAAGACATAAAATAGAATAGGCATCAGGGTTTTATTGCTCCTAAAATGTCACATTTATTAACAAATAAATATCCAACGAGTTGATAAATGCTTGTGTATGGAATAGCATTAAGCATATGGCTGGAATTTTCAGTCCCAGTTATTATGAGTAATATGAAATATGCGACATACCGAACAGCCAACAAGTTTGCTTTATAGAAAACCACCATTTTCTTTTCTTGATAGTTTGATATTCATAACCTAGCTAGATTTCTGTACATGGATCACATGTGAAGCTTTCCAAACTTCTCCCACAGGATCTCATCCGTAATCGTGATGTGATGCAGACGACAAACACGAACAAATGAATTTACTATAGTAACACAGTTGTATGACAGAAGTGTACGTTACTGTCTACTAGTATGTAGTACAACTCTCTCTTTTCCTTAACGATTTTCGAAGCTCTTGAAATTAGATTTAAAATGTTAATTACATGAACTAGTGAACTGCTGCGACAATAAGTTTATAAAATATAAGCTTATTTTTAAATTAACAGCACATTACACTTACATTGTTCGCTTTCTTTTAGGGGTGTTTTTTATTGATTTTATGCGTGCATGTAATGTGCTAACATCTTTAACCGGTTCGTCATATGGGAATTTATCTCGTCCAATAGCCAGATCACGAGAATTTAAATCTTTTTCTTTTGAAGTCACCATTAAGTCTGTTTGATACTTTATCTACAAATTAATAATATAGAGGTTGATTGTCCACAATACTTATCAGAAACCGAAAAATATTGTCAAGAAGCACTCGAAAAATGGATTAAATTTAGAAGGCTTAGATATTAGGGTTGATTTCATCATAATAATTTAGTCCCCATAACTTAGAATCAAATTAAAAATCCTGAAACCTAAAGATCAAATGTTTTGGGGAATGTTAGTGTTTACTAAATGAACAGTAGAGATTTTATTATGTCACCCCATACTTAAATACTAATAAACACAGTACATTTTGGGAGTTTCTATCACGAAATGGTGTAAGCCAGGAAATCACGGAACATTAGAAAACGGTGCTGTTTTGCCATAGATCACCTTAGCAGGACGCACTAATAACCATGTGAAAAGCCGAACCCAGTTACCCGTTTTCGCGCCAAGTACGATACCATTTAAGTCGAGACTTGATGGTCCATGTTTTCAGTAACATTCCGTTCACGATAGAGAACGATCTTCGTCGAACGAAATTAATGAGTTGATGTCTTATTTTATGATAGGCTCACTCCACAGACCATGAGATCGCAACTAGAACATGTCAGACAACCCAATCTTAACTTGGTCACAAGTGCAGTTTATGATTCGGGTGGATGGTTTTGCAAATAATAACTTTCGAAATACGAACTTCTACAGAACCACCTGTATAAATATGATACATTTGGATATACTTGGATAAAAAATATAAGGTTATAAATATGGCATTGTATTGATCACAACAATTAGCAATGTCTTATTGAAAACAAAAACAAATAGAGATTGAAACTCCATTAACATAGATGGAGTAAGGTGTATGATTCAATTTACGATGAAATCACTGAATCAAGAGTATTTGATGGGCACAAGGGTTTAAGTTCTAAAGACTATGCAAACTATTCATTGATGATTTAAAGAAGTCACCAACCTTATTTCATGGCGTTATCGAAACATTCACCAAGTGGATAGTACAAATTTACTTAAATCCAATAATAAGTCCATGATACTATATTCTGATATCTGATCTTTGGGTATTTGACATTACTACTGATAAGACTCGAAATTGTGGGGAATCGTCCTAATCATAGCTTCCTGTTGCTTACTGCATCGATGCGTAGACTCTAACCAACAATATTGAACAAAGTTGTGCGCTGACCAATTTGATTATCCCATTGAAAGATAAACTTTATTGACAATATCTACGCTTCCATGTTTAAGCGTTTTGTAATAGTACTAGAAAATATTTAGGAGATGAATCCAATGTATATGTTACGTCTAGGAGTATTACTACCTGCTTTTTAAGAATTTTAGAAACCACTCAGGATTATGTCTTACTGTTTAAAATGAGGTGCGAAATCAGTTGTTTGACACCTTATATCACAACAAAATGAAAATTTGACGGCGACGATTATGAACTTACAGTGGGGATATTCGTTCCTTTTTTAATATCTATGGGTGGCGCGAAAGATTCCAAGCGTTTGTCCACAGTCAGGGTTCTGTCCAATGAAAGCAAATCTGAGTCGAGTTCCTGTAGAATTTTAAGGTCTTACAGGTCAAGATACGGAATTCTACTTTACTTTTATGTGTAGACGCATACAAATGATCAAACTTAAGGGACAAGTTTTCGAATTCGTTTTGTAAGTATTCAGATGTGGATGGAGTGATGTTTACTGGAAAGTAAAAAATGAGTTAAACTAACCTGGTTCGGTAGACGAAATCTCGAAGTTGTGAAACCTAGTAAGAAAGTGAGCATCTCGAGCTAAAATCATATTGTTTAGGATCTGGTAAGTGACGCTAAGTTTTGAAGAGTGCTTACTTCAGATTCAGGAAAAGCAAGTGACGGAAAAACAGCATCTACAAAACAACGGGGTGTCAATCGGAACATATTACATTAGTTCTGAATAGATTCAGGAATCTTAAGAAATACCACACGAAAACTGAAATCTACAGATTATACATTACCATCAAAAAATACATCCAAACACACATCAGGATCCCTGACAATAATCTCAATTAACAAAACCCACCAACGGGTTAATAAATAAACCATAAATTAATATTCTGACGATGTGGTATGCTAAACTGCTTTGCGACAATAACCGTCTACCTATTTTAGTCGATCGAACAAACCGTGGGTCAGAATATGTGAAGCCGTAGATTAACCCCAAGTATTCCCGGATCTACTCGATCGAGATAAACTCACCGATGTTTTGAATTTTCCCACCCTATTTTCTTATCTGTAATCTCCAGTTTTCGATTATCTGTCTTCGAAGGCAGATATGTTGACAAAAATTTGACTTTGAACTAATCCATCTAAAGCACTGCAAAACGACAGTAGTTAGTTTTTATCTAATAGTCTTAACAACAATAATTTGAAAAAGCTCTTGCTAAATGAAGTATCTTTAGTCAGCAGAAAGTTTGGAATGCAAAGTAAAGCATTCGGGAACCTTTAACACGTAGTTAAACACCAGGCCAAATATTGCACAGGCACACATTAATATGTGGTTGACCCCATCTATGTTCGACTCTATTCATATTTCGCTAGCAGCTCTTAAAACGTAGGATTAGTGTAACATTTCAACTTCCCTACTTTTGGAAAAATATTGTTTGTTTCGGGGAGGCCTCTATAGAAAATTTCGGGGAAATAGCACAAAAGACCCAAAATCTCCCCACGTTTGCAGAAATCCCCCAGAATTTTGGAAATTTCCGCAATACTCCTCCAAACTTTCATGAAAACCCCAAAAGTTACTCAAAATCGTGAGATCGGGATTAGAAACACGGTAAGATAGAAACGGACTACGACTTGAAATCATGGAATGTTTGATCAATCGGACCAATACCTTTAATTGGGCAGTTGAAGTTAGTTAGAAACTAATTGAGCTGAGAATACGCACGAATTTCATCGGTGGATTTACTACAACAAGTTGCAACAAACTGATCTAGTTGCTCATTACAATTGGAAATGCTAGGGGCTCATGCCTCGTATGCCACAAGTAGAGCATACGAACCAGTGATCTTATTAACACAGGTTCATCAACCTACTATCCTTATTACTGAAGACTTATTCTGGCCGTGAAGATTAAGTCCTTGAACATTAGGGACAAAATTATATGGCAAAATGAGGGAAAATATATCTACACAACAAACCAGTCTGAGACATTGTCAAACGGCAACGATCCAGTAGCATCGTCCATTGATGGAGGTTGCTGAGTTCTTGAAGGTCAATATGTTGTAAAACGATTGGTGCGCAACCTCAACGATTCGTAGAGTTTTGAAGAAGCGGTCGAATCAAGATATCTTCAAATTTGATTTGAGTCCAGCCATACCATGTCTGATAGCCTTCATCCTTCTAGTAATGAAATTGATTCCATCGCAATGGTGCGTGATATAGGACGAATCTTCAAACTACGCGTACTGTTTTTTTTAAAAAGGACAGTTGTATTATTCGTCGTTGAGTTAAATTTATTGTTTTGGTTGTAAATTACACATCAGAACTACTCTATACACTTTAATTGAGTTTGTTTCAGTCAAAGTTATATTTTACTCGTATGTATTATCTTTCCCTTTGTATATTTATTGTATCAACGCATACTTGATCGATTTTGACTTGACTTATTCGGTTAAGGTTATAGATTTTTTCGCCCAACCACTTTTGTGTTGTCATTCTTGGTCAATTTTTAAGACGGTAGGCTCTGCTCAGAAGTGTAGGTGGCCATACTATTTATTCGCTGTGGAAGAAGGAATGCAATATAATGATTGTAAGAAGTGGTTCCATATGATGTGAGCCCGCTTAAGTTTCACTGCCTATAAAAGATGCCCGAAACTTAACGGTCGTTGGCTTTGTATGTTTTGTTGTTGAAGCAAAACATTGCTCATCCGTGATGCAGTTAGCCTTCTGGCGTTGGCTGACAAATAGGTTAATGAGGGATGTACCTGTAACATGGTACTGATAGTGGAGAATGTGTGAGTGTCGTAAGGGCTGTTACAGCACGTGCCAGACACCCGGCTGTTCGACACACAATAGGGCCGAGTTGCTACAGCAACGACTGATGACCCGGAAAAACCATTATCGCCCCGTATAGTTTTAGGGTGAATGCTGAGACAGATGGGAAATGGATGACGCGGCAATGAAGAAGAGAAGGGTAAGTAGCCAAAAATAACGCCCGTTTAGTTGAAAAAGTCTTTGATGAACTCACACTCTGCGTTGCAGATTACTCCTCCAAGGTGTCAAAGTATGATAATATGTAATCCTACCGTAGATGGAAAAAGTTTGACCTCATCAAAGATTGTCGTGAATCATTCGCTCGACTCTCACGACTATGTTACAGGGAAAACTAACTGTAAGCTGTCAACACTTAACAAGCAAGATCTAATATCACTGACGGAAGCCGTGAACACGACTTTCATAAAAGTTAAACCCGTTCCTAGTTTAATTATTTGTAATCTCGAGGAGTAGAAAGACAATAACCCTGCTAAAAGGCATGCACACGATCTGGAGTTAGTGGAACATGTCATCGGAAATGTACTACCTGAAGAGGTTTCAGGGGTACATATCACGAATGTAATTAGACTAGGTGAATGCGTTGGGGGCGAGACCCAACCAAGAAGAGTCTCGAAGTCGGTAAGGCCGAGAGTGAGGAGGGCCCGCCGTCTCTCTTGAAATGCTCTCACACGTCTACGAGTATACAGTCCCTGCGATGGAAGTCCTAATCATCGCTTTCTGGTTGCGGGGGTATTGTTTGCGAAATTGGGAGGACGAAGAACGAATGCCTAGCGCTTTAACGTGGTTGGTGGACACAGAGAGTCCACCTGAGGGAGCTGGAAAAACCCTTATTCTAAACCGATGGTGCACATGGGCTCCAGTATCCTGATAAAACAAATGGCGCATGAACCAATTATTGGTCAACGTCTAACATGGGACTGCATCTCCTCACGATGCTCCACTGTCTTGTGGGTCAGACCTTTAGGTCGAAGGCTCCGGGTGTGGCTCTTTAAGAAAACCACCTGTTTTGGTCCGGGCACTTGGGCAGTACCATAGCCCTCACACAATTAAATGAAATGACTTTTTGTGTAGCGCATATATATCTGGTGCCCCTCTGTACCAATATTTATGTGTTTAAATAAATAAATAAATTTTTGAAGGAAGGGATGTAATTTTTGATAACGCATACAAAACTCATCGCAATGAAGAAAGCATAATGTTCTATGTTATGGATCACTTATGCATACAATCACTCACATAGGAGGTACGTGTTAGTGGCACACGTGAGGTAGCATGTTGTACAGTTAAGTCTAGGCACGGGTTGATGACTATAGGAGGAATATGTCGTAGTCAGTGTTGTCTTGCTGGTGACCTTATCTTAAGACATCTGTTCTCGGAGTAAGGCAGGATGTCTCATCATTGGAGATTTCAACACACCACATACCAACTAGATAGAGATTACAGCTTCATAGGGTTTTCGATAGCAACTTATCAGCCATTATTCAGTGTGCACTTGTACAATATATCGCAAAACAGATAATTATTGACTTCGAACATGAGCCATCATTGCTGGACCTTGACCTCACACACCACTATAAACATCTCATCGAAATTTAGCAGCCCCCACTAGCGAATAGTGATCATTGTTACGGGAGAACTAAAGACATTTGGCTGATTAAAACCTTTTTACTGTACATCAAATTTACTGTGTTTTTTGGATGTGTTTGTTTTAATTAACCTTTGGACTTGTTTGTTTATATCATTACTTTCGGACATTTTGGTTTCTTTTGTCATTGGTTTGAAATTTGGGAGTTTTTGCTCCGGGAACCTACAAAATTGAAGAACGACTTTGGTCGATTATTTGTGAATTGCGAATAAACTTGGTATCTTATTTGGAGTTTTGGTTCTCTTGCCTACTTGGGTTCGTAATTTGCGAATATCGACGGCCAGTACTTCAATAGTTGGAACGGGCAAAACTCATAATTGGACGTAACATAAAGTTCTTCAATTATTGGTTCTGTGTTCACTGGATTAGTCTGGACAGTAATTTGGGTCTAAATTCTGGTTCTCCTGAACGAAGGTGTACTATGGAAACTCGAAGCAAAAGACAGAAGGAAAACGACGAATTGGACGGTAAAATTTCCAGAGCTGTTTGTGGTATGTATGACGTTAACGATGATAAATGTGATGATATTAGTCTTAATAGTATATCCTCTAGCCAGCTAAGTACTTCTAGGTTAAAGTTAGACAAGGCATTACTGAGGAAAAAGAATTTAGAAAAGAGACTTGAGTTGGAACGGCAACTTAAGATGTTAGATCTTCAAGAAGAGGTTGATATGGCCGAATTAGAATGCAACGTCATCAAGGACGATGAACGATTGCCCGTAGATAAATGTGAAATAAATGCTAAAGTGGAAAATTATTTGAATGGTGAAACGGGGGGTAATAATCACTCAGGAGAGGTATGTAACATTTCAAAAATCGATTGGGTTGATGAACTGAGGGGCACTTTACATACATTGGTCGGTAACATGGCTTTACCTAAGATCGATATGATGTACTTTGATGGACAACCGGGTCAGTATTACCGTTTCATTAGTCAATTCAATAGTCTTATAGAGAGTAGACTGTCAGATAAGGGCCAATTACTGTCGTATTTGTTACATTATTGCAAAGGAAAGGCCAGAACGGCAATCGAATCTTGCATTTCTTTGCCCAGCCATTTAGGCTATGATAGGGCTAAACGAATTTTATATGATTTATTTGGTAAAGAACATCTTGTTGCGCGGGAACTAATTGCGGAGTTATTAAACCATAAATCTATCGGAAGGTCAGCTGACGTATTAACTGACTTTGCCATTAAGTTACGTAATGTATGTATAACGTTGGAGGAAATGGGATACATGTCTGATGTTAATTCTACGGCTAATTTGGAGATAATAGTTTCATGTCTGCCACTAGAATTGCAAAATAAGTGGGCTGAAGTCGCTGATAAGATTATGATGCATGGGAAAGAGCCGAGCTTCGAAGAATTTGTGGTCTTTGTAGAAGAGAGGGCCAGAATTGCCCGGACCCGTTATGGTAGACTAGTACAGTGTAACTCAAGGTTCGTTAAAGGGAATTCTGAAGGCCAAGCTGATAGATCACGCTTTCATGCAATCAGACGAGACCCAAATGACTCAGTCAAGGTATCAAGTTGTGCAGTTTGCTTAGGTGATCATGAGGCGACAGATTGTCCAAGGTTGGCAAAAATGAGTGTAAGAGAAAGGAGGCAGGAGATAAGAAGACGTGGTCTATGTTACTTATGTTTGAAGAAAGGTCACATAGCTATGTCATGCAACTCAGGCTTCAAGTGCGACGTCGAGAACTGCAAGGTTAGACATAATTCATTACTGCATATTGATGGTACTGATAACTATGTGATGAACCTAGCTAAGGATGGGAACTCCTCAAGGGTTTGTTTGGGCATTGTTCCAGTCAGACTATATGGTCCCAAAGGATGTTTGGAAACATATGCACTTCTGGATAGTGGTTCAGACACTTCTCTTGTATGTGAAGAATTAATTAATCAGTTGGGAATCGAAGGTAAAGAGACTTCGATAAGAGTGGCGACTGTGAACGGAACTACCAATTGTGAATGTTTGGAGGTAGATTTAGAGGTATTTTCATTAGATGAACTGGGTTCTATAAGGATCAACAAAGTTTACACGACCAAGAAACTTCCGATTGATCATGCAGCACCTTTAACCGAACCCCAACTGAAAAGATGGAAACATTTAAACGACATAACCCTTCCGAGGTTGCAAAACAATTTTGTAGGGGTATTGATTGGGTGTGATGCTCCAGATGCACATTGGGTCTTGGAACAACGTCTGGGGGACAGGAAGCATCCGTTTGCTGTGCGAACCCATCTCGGTTGGATGATTATAGGTCCCAAGGGGGCATCAAGGTCTCTACATCAGGTTCTGTGGTGCCATTGTTCTAATGATATTTTGCGAGATATAGAAAGATTATATAATCATGAGTTCGAGGATACAGATACGTCTCGTAATGGATATTCTGTCGAAGATAAAAGAGCTCTAGAAATAGTTAGTAATTCCTTTAAACTGGAAGGCGGCCATTTTCAAGTTGGTCTACCGTGGAAGTATGATAGGCCAAGTCTACCGAATAATTTGGAACTGGCTGAACGCAGACTAGAGTGTTTAAGGAAAAGGTTTATGAAAGATAATAGTCTTCTGCAGAAATATCAAGCTGTGATGAATAAACATATAAAT